CCATGCCTTTGAGAAGAGCTCTGGAATAAGCAAGTGGTCAGGTGCACCAGTATCCCCCTTAGAGCATATCTCTTCATGAATGCCTACTTGCGATGGATTCTTTAATGCAAATATATCAGTCTAGACTAAACAATTTCTGGTGCCGGGAGTTGACCACGCGTAAGGATGGCTTGTCTCACTCAATATTGAGTGCGCAACTACTTAGGTACCTACCTCATTCAGATATTTGGTTGGACGGCCCGTCTGCTGTATGCCAATGGAGCCTTGATCCCGGATTCAGTCCCCTCCATCGCTGGTGACCGGCGAAGGTGGTGAGCACCCTGACAGGTGATTTACAGGGGAAAACCCCGTCCAATCCAGCCTAGCTCGCCCAGTGCAGTTGATTAGCTAGTGTGTAATAAATGCCGATGTTTCAGAAGCAGACGATTGGGATTGTCGACCTGTCACTGGTGATGAAGATTATACTACAGTCATGGCGGTCAGCAAACTTTGGCACCTAATGACAGAGAACGGCGATACATACACCACTATCAATCTCGACTAGCATGAGGGTCTCTACGAAGCAGTTACACCACAAGCCCCTCTAGAGAGTACCAAGATGGAGGTCAGAGCGTATAGTATGGACACAAAACAATCCTGACTACAGTACCTCTGAATGGAGAATATTTGGAACATCATCTAATGCGAAGGAACGGCCGCATGACATGCGACCTCGCTGATTGAATTGGCGGTGATTCTCCCGTCATCCTTTCCGTTCGCTACTTGCTGTGCGTTCACTGCTTAACACCATGTCAGCATGCTCGCTACTCAGTCGGTTAACCACCTGCCTAGCAAGCGAGAGCCACAGGCTCCCTCATCTCACGATCACCCGATTCTACAGGATACTATGTAGCATTGGCGCGGCGCTACTGCGACTATGCACTACACTAGCCGGGCTGGACGTTCTTAGTAGTTCATAGCAGACAGTCAAGGCGTTCGTTTTCGGATTCTCCGTACATGTTTTTGGAGAACTAGAACGAGAAATGATGCAGTCTACACATGGTCTGTCCAAGTTTTCTTTCATTTTGACCAACTGTCACGTTCCAGAGCAGTTCGTGGGCTACCTACCAGGAACCGCCATGTCGCATTGCTTGTTGGGGCCCAGGCGACACTATGTTCCGGCCTGCCCGGTACTAAAGCATTAGGTCGCAGACGCACGCTCGAGAGAGTTGGTCGCAAGACTTGGACATCCATCTACTTAATAAGCATGCACCACATGCGCGAACATTTTAGTTGCGCGACAGCGCGCTGTGGAGCGTTGGCTTATGTTTGATCAAGTACTGTACAGTAGTGTGTCTACCAACCTACGTAGTACTTAGATGTCGTGACTCTGATGCTTTCCTTGTCACACCAGGCAACTATTTATCTTGTCATAATGATGTAGAGTGGGAGCTTAAAAATAAAAAAAGCAGCATAAGTATGACTTACGTCGTCTCGTATTGATTCTTAAATGATGGACTGGGCAGAGATATATTGATTGCTAGCTTCTTGTGTAGTGTGCTATGCTGTGAGATAGTACAGGACTGTACTGCATGTAGCCCTCCGATCATTACCCCTGAACCTGGCTCGAGCGAGGTGCCGGACCCCAAAGCGCCCCTTGTCGACACACTGTGGACATAAGCTATTAGAACAAAGTCGTCGCAAATTCTCTACTTCGAGTTTAGAGCCATCCTTGCAAGTATCCGAGTATAGGCAAGCTGCTTTTAGAACCCCTTCAACTTATTCTATTCTTGGACTAGGGACTAAGCCAGGTACAATTATTTCATCGCCTTGTTCCCACATTTCATCATGAGCTCATGGCGCTTTCAGGAGTTACATTGACTCCTTCGATACACTACACACCCTTTGGCTTCTCTCCTCCGTTGCGCCCTTTACATCTGGGTACGAGCAAAAACAGTGTTGTGTCGACTCGTTCAATCAGGTGTGTGCAGGGATAAACAGGCCGCCAACGAGCGAGCCTTGCAGTCGGCGCAATACTTGCCACGCCACAACGCTACTACTTTACTTACCACCGCTACGATACACCATCCTCACCGTTTCCTTCCCTCCTCCTAATTCTCGCTACATCGTCTGGACCTGTTGGCACAACAAGCTGAACGCCCAGGTCTAATTTTGTAGGCGAAACTAAGCTCTCAGCTTGCTTGCCTCTTCCCTCAAAGGCGCCCTTTGCATTGTGACCCCCATAGCTTTGTTCAGACCGAACAAAAGCTGGTCATCTGTCTGGCCGTGCCTCCCACTGTTCGGGGTAAATATGACGCTTTGACGACAGATTACGAGTTCAGACACTCTGCTTGCGGTCCGTCACACGAAACACCAAATAAAAGGCCTTGCGCCACGCAGGCCAATACAAGTACGAGCGCGTGCATCCTCTCGAGAGGTGTCGCGGTCCTCATGGAGGGTATTCTTCTAGCACCCCCAGATAGGGGACCGATTATTGGAAAGCCTGTATGGAAGGTAATTACTGCCACTGATAACACATGCACCTGTTTGTGAGAATACTGATCGCCTACAATTCTAGCCGCGTTACGTTATTATTGGTCCACAGTACCAGAAGGATGGCCAAGCTCCGAATCTTTCTCTTTCCCAGGTTTTGTCGAATGCTCGGATGAGGGATGTAGGGGGGCGATCCTCGAAAGCACAACAGAAGTCCTTGACAGACGCACTCTACTTCTCGGTTTACAAGTCCAAGGTGCGCACTGCTCATTTAAACGGGAGATCTTCTTCGCTGACATGGCAATAGGACGATTCCGAGCCCATCATTCAACATCCGATTACCTCCGTAATAGATTGCCAGGTGCAACGCATTGCCCACCGAAAGCAGGGCCATCTGCTCCCAACTCTCACGCTTCAAATCACCCCCGATCCGGCCGCCGATAAATTACGAAAACGTCGATCGAGTCGCACCACTGGATTGATTTCAAGTAAAGACTCTGGGCCGTTGAAGTTATGGTTTCTCGGCACCGAAGAGTCGCGATATGGCTTGGATGAATGGGCTAGATATATACAGTCGCTCATACAGCGCCAACAGTCCATGCCCATGAGCCCAACTAGTCCAACAGTACCGGTTTTCACCAACCCGTTACCCGCGAAGCAAGAAGTCGAGAAGCCTGGACCTGTTTCTAGTGCGAAGGGGAAACTAAGGTCCAAACTGCAATCAAAGTCATCGGGTAGGACCCTCCCATCGACGCGCGACCAGAGCTCAACATATACCTCAGGCTCCCCGAGCCTGCGCTCCCGCAAAAGCGATCTCTCCTCTCGTGCGAGCTCCATGGTACCGGCTCCTATGAATTTGACGCAGCAACACTACGCAAACCTTCAGCGATCCGATCTTCCTTCTCCTGCTTCCACTGTGGATGAGCAACCCGAACAGTTTATAGAAGGGTGGACAACATCACAAGGGCGATCATCTGCCTTGAGTTCTCCTATCAGGGGACGCGGCAGCATCAGTTCATCACAAGACCCGATCCAACCTAGCTTAGAGTCCAGCCCTCGCGTGGCTCCTCGTGAGACTATCCTGGACCGTGCATTCCAACTGCGATGCATCCCAGGATCTGACACACAGGTCGCCGGAGAAGAGAAGCTCACGTCACTTGCGAGATTCGAGGCCTTGATGCGAGAAACGGAAGAAACCCGCCCAACTAGCACAGGGAGACGAGGAACGGTGCATGAAGCATCAAGAAGCACTTGGGAAGATGATGAGAGCTCCGGCGACGAGTTTGGTAAGGAAACCGACTTTGATGAGGATGACGAGGATAGCGATAACTATGCTCATGACCACCAAAATGATCCCGACGAGGTGGATGCGTCTTTGAAGGCGCTTCGGTTCAATTCGACTCGCCACACTTCGACTTATAGTGAGACTGGGCTGAGCAGCATTCTTCGCCCACATACGTCTCACTCACGAAACCGGCCTGGAGCCCAGCGGACGACTAGTACGCCTTACGTTCCCGGATCGCCAATGCATACGCTGCCATCCTCATCTAGGATGCCAGACACCACTCAGATGCGGCGGTCCCAGGAGAAACGACACTCGACCTCGGATGTCAAGAATCTGAGTTTCAATGAATTCGCGAAGCGATTGAGCGGTACGAGTAGTTTGCTTCTTGTGCAGTCGAACGCCAGTACCGGTAGCAATCGTGGCAGCGCTGATTACGACGCACAGCATACCCCTCGCGGGAGTCAGACTCCTGATGACCGCTGTCGATGGCGAGGCAGCATCGGTGTATTTGGAAACGACGGCGGATTCCTGTGATTTCATATTCGCGAACCCCATGACCTTCACTTTTCTCCGAAAGATCTTTCCTGCGAATTGAACCCTACATCTTCATACTGCTAGAAGCTCTCGCTTTCGACTGTATTATTACCACATCGCCCTCCCAACCCTCAACGCACGATCTTACGATACCAGTCTTTGGACCTAAGCGTTATGCGACATTAGACGGCATAGCATGACATTTTCATGATTCCAGCGCACGAAATGATTCCACGCCCTTTTTGTTTCCTTTTCAACACTTCTCGTTCAGCTAGATTGGAAGTCGATATAAGACAGATCAATAGCATGTTCAAGGCGATATCCTTTTATTTTCTTCTTGCCATTTCACTATATGGATATAGGGACGAGTCTATGATACTAGGAAACTTAGACGGGCTGGTCGGCACGTGAAGGATCGTCATAATCCTTCCTCTGTTTTCTTAATATTAGGCTTAGATATCACCTTCCCTTAGTAACGTTGAACGACCAAGCACAGATCATGGACAATTACTTTACAACATACAGTTAGGCAAATGTAAAGATACCCTTAACGATACAATTAGCAAGCAAGCACTATTTCAGAGGACATCCAAAACCGGTGACATGGTTCGCTCTCGGATACCGCCGAACCCCGTGAAAACATATGTTGATCTTCAACGAGCAGGAAAGCCACCCCAACGTCGAAGATGCCGGATAAATCGACAAAAAATGGACGAACGGGGATTTGAACCCCGGACCCTTCGCAAGCAAGATAACCTCATCGTAACGTCATGTGGATGCATGCAAAGCGAATATCATACCCCTAGACCATTCGCCCAAAGGTCGGTCGTGCAGTAGTAGCCGCATCGATCGTACCAGCAACGATCCGCACGGGACTCGAACCCGCAACCCCAGACTTAGGAGGTCTGTACGCTACCATTGCGCCAACGAACCAGGATGGAAAAAGTAGTTAATCCTGCGGTTTATATGCGAAGATGACGAAGGTTACCATAGCAACTCATTGATTGGACTACGGGTGATATAGACGCAACCTTGGTGTTATGAATTCCTGGAATGTGTTCGACAGGCTTCAACTGTTCAAATTAGCACCCAGGTCTGCCTATTTGTCCAGAATAAACCACGGGGATAGCATAGGTAACTCATCGGTGTGTATAATGCTTAATTACCTTGATACCATTGGGGGGCTCTGTTGAATCTGAAGACAGTCCGCTGAAGCACTACCTCCGTGCCCCTTTTAGGACCAATCTCAAGCTTCGTCCCCAAGAATTGTAGATAATAATGAATCACAACTGACTATAAATTACGGGGAAAGCCTGCTTGCTTGGCTGAGAGCATACATAAATCCCAATTCCATTGACCAAGAAAATGAAGAGCCATCTATCCACTTAGGATTGTGAGCCATAAAAATCACGATGATACCCTCATACCCAAACGAAGTAAGGCTTTAGCATTATCAAGCAGCCCTGTTGCTTGAGCTATCTATATCTACTAACCATATATTCAGGTTGCTGTGACACCTCTTAGGCATAGGCAGGTATCAAATATTTCTGCAGTTCATATCTTCCTATCCAAACGCCAGCCCACCTTCATAATCCGGCTTGCGAAAATGGTTCCACCGGATACAACGAGAAAAGAGGCACAGAACGCAATGAGTCCTGTCCAATTTCCGTTTCTACCCAGAATCGCACCAGCAATGGGGTTTCCCACAAGAACACTGACGCCTATGAAAGCTAATGTCATTCCCAGACGCGTCCCAAACTTACTCTTGTCATCCGAGAGACTAGCTAAGCCTGTAGCAGGGAGACCTGTGAAAGTGCCAGAAGTAAAGCCAAACAAGATGGAATACACCAACAAGCCTGCAGCTGTATGTATAGCTAATAAAGAATATGTCAGGATGGCGGCTATAAAAGCCACCAGACCCTGGACATGGATCGAGCCGATCCTGTCAGCGTAGAAGCCGCCCACAAGCCTGCCAACTAGGGAACTGGCGTTAATAATGACTAAAACATTATTGGCTATGGAATTGGTGATGGAATACTCAACGGCAAAGAGTTGAATATAGTTGAGCACAACGTTAAACCCGGTAAAGCCGAAGAATAGTCCAGTACTGAATAAGAGGTATGGGGCATCTGTGAAGACTTCTCTATCTATGATGCTGCGTGCTGGCCCTGGCGGCATTTTTGATTTCATCAAAAGCACGGGAATAAGTGAGGTAGCCAACAAGATGAAGCCAATTATCCGAGTGGCCCATCCAAAGCCAATCTGCGGCTGTAGCTGTGTAAAGATGATAGGATATATAATGCCACCTTGGCGTAGCATCAGAAAAATGTTCATACACCGAGTAAATGGATCGGGAAAGGGATATTACATACCAACAGCACTGCCTGTAGATGCTGCGCCCATTGCCAATGCGGCTTTCGCATGGAAATACTGTGAGACTATAACAGGCGCGGGCAGATACACACATCCGAAGCCGAAACCCATCAGAATGGATTGTGTTATGAAAATCTGCCAGTACTGAGAGGTGATGCTGACAAGAAACATGCCGAGAATGAGCAGGAAAGACCCTATCCAGATCAGGGGTCTAACATGGCCACGGTCGAAGGCAGGGCCCGCTATGAGCGAGACAAGGAAAAGAAGAAATGCTTGCGTAGATCCGATCCAGGCGATATTCGATGGCGTCTCATGTCGGAGATGGTTGAGCTGATAGAAGGTTTGAAAAACGCCAAAGGTATTGAGGAGGCCCCTTCTCTGTATCAGCAGCTGATCTCTCCGATCATCTCATTTTCATGAGATTTTAACGTGGGACTTAGAGCGATGCTAACCAGGTATTGAGGTTGAGGACAAAAGCACCGGCTACTTGTAGCAAACAGACCCTCTTTCGGCCGTGGCGAAGTTGGAGAAGGCGATCGCTCGTCACGACGACGACCATGATCGTGGCTGAGCTCTGCATTAAGTATAGTGCCGGGGGGTGGCTTTTCTTTCTCATCTGGTAGGGCACGGATGCTGGACGCCGTCATGTTCATTGAATCGTCGCAATGCAGTGAAATTCCAGTCAGATAAATTAATATCCTATAATTGCCTGATTTCCGGGGTTAGAGTAGATTTTAAAGATATGCTGCTACCAAGTAGTAGAGGTCCCGAAGTAAAGAACGAGAGAACAATATCTAATTGTGGGAAGTGGACAAAGACGCCGAAGCTTGGTTATCAGCATACCAACCAACTTTCGACTGGATACAAAGTACGTAACAAAACCAACACGGGCCTTTGACAGGCTGCAAGGTCTTATCTACGTCGCACCAACTGACATGATATACATTTCTAAACAAGGGCCAACTACAAGATTTCAAAGTTCGGGATGTTACGATGATTGAGCCAAGCACTTATTTCGATATGGATGTTTCTTAAAGGATTTTTGACGTTTGCGCGACGAAGTGAAGGTGAAAATGTAACTGAATGCACTTAGAACCTGCTAGGGATAGACTGTTGATCTCATCAATTTAGTCGAACTGATACATCATTGAAAGACCAAGAAGTGTATCCCCTCGTCACTCCTCTAGTATGACTTCCACGATACCATCTCCATCATCTTGCGGTGGAGCCCAGAACTTGATAACCTTGAGACCTGCCTTTTCCATCAGCTCCTCCCACTGTCTTTCCGTCCTCTCCATCCCCGCGTTGAAGGCCATTATGGTCATGTCGAGCATGGCATGGAATGCGGAAGCTCCCTGCTCAGGTATGATCATTTCGTGAAGAAGTAGTTTGGAATAGCCAGGTCTCATGGCCTTCTTGACCCTCTTTAGCATGTCCAAACATACGGGATCAGACCAATCGTGTAGGATGTGGTGATAGAAGTATGCGCGTGCTCCCTCTACGGGTTGCTCGGTGAAGAAATCATATTCCATCACCTCAATAGCGGGATCGAGATCGTTGGAATTCTCCGTGACTGATCGAAGGTCCTGCAGAACCAAGCGACCCTGATGCGGATACTTTGCGTGGAAGGCGAGAATATCGTGTCCTTTGCCCCCGCCTACGTCCACCAGGAGCGCAGATTTATCAGTCGCTCCATCAAGCAATCTTTCTTGCACTGGGAACCAATCAACCCAATAGTTTCGGGCACCCATGGTGCTTCCCATAAACATATTGAAGTCCCGAAACACTTCAGGCATCGTCTGGAAGAATTCAAAGGTCGTGAGTTTGGTTTTGAAAGCGTATTGCATAAGACCATCGTGAGGATCAGTCGGGCATCGATAACCAGCTTCCCTAAAGTACCTTAGCGCTTGAGATGCTGCCCCAACAACCATTTCACCACTGAAAGAAGTGTAAGCCGAGTCGAAATTAATTATTGAACAAGACGCATGTTTTAGAGGGGCAACACTAACAGCATTCGATGCCCAGAGGCAATTCCCTCGGTTGTCATTGCGAAGGTAAGGGGTGTGGCAATCCATTTTCTCTCACCGGTCTCTTTGACAAACCCTATCGCTGCCATAGGTCTGAGAACACGAACTGTGTCGCCGTTAATACTGTTGGGGCCATGTATCAACCCTCTGGGCAGCATGACGTACTGATTAACAGCTCCTCTCCTTCGGATAGGGATGCAAGCTCGTTCGATGTAACCGGTCCATCGTGGTTGGCTATATGCTTGAAAAGATCTAATTGTGTGGCGATTCTTGCTGCAATGGCCATAAAAGGCTACTGGTGTTAGTTAGAAACATGAAACTTTGTGCAAGTAGTTGTAATACTGAAAAAGCCAACTCCACCGCTGTATTTTCCGGTTGCTCTAGAACAGTGACGAGCTGGCGTGCCAGGCTCACGGCATTTTTCTTCGCAGAGGGATCATTATGGGACGATAGTGCTGGTGAAAGATTATTGAGCTGTTCAATGATGTGAATCGCTGAGTCTTGCTGCGCAGCCATCTTGGGTGCCGTAAACCAATGTTTGATCAAAAACAAAATCTCAAGAACAGAATCACAATGGGACACGTAGCAAGTTATTAAATGTTGAGCCCTCATGAGGAACACAACTAATTAGCTAGAGGGGTGGTATCTAGGCCCGCAGAACAAAGAAAAAACGATCTGCACCCACCTACACCTGAAAAGGATTGCATCTGCACCTGCCTACACCAGAAAAGGATTGTTATCGATTTTTAGTAATGCATGTTAGGACTGTCTTAGACTACTGGATGGCGATGACGACACCGAAGGTATCGGGGTACCTCAATACTTGATTATTCCAACAATTCTCGATGTGCAAGCGGCGAACATTTCACAATGACTGCATAGAAACCTTCAAAAAGTCTCTGTATCGTATAATACAAAGATTAAACGTAATTATATGCTTGATTCCAAGCCTACCAATACCAATAAAGTGCTATATGCGTTATAGCTCAAGGCCTATGAATCACAAGCTGCTCCTCAGTGCCTTATGTACGGCCGGATGATCCTTAGAGATGACTTCACAGATCTCATCCCAAGTCTTCTTCATTAGGACTTCGTCTTTGGCCATCTCTCCAATCCTATAACAGCGCTTAGCTCATTGCTCTGTGCCCATATGAAATGAGCAAGGGGTACAATATGGTTCATCACTTACGGGTAGAGAACATCATTGTGCCAGAAACGACCATGGCTCTCCGGTCCAAGAGCGGTGCCGCTGACGAGGGTACGAGATCCTTGCTCGGCAGTGCGTGCGATGAATGAGAGGACTATATTTCCGATGGCCCGCTGCACAACATTGAAATTCCGGCCCAGTTCGGTCTTGCACAGACCTGGGCAGACGGCATTGGTGATAATCTCTGGCGAACCTGTACTACTCGTAGTTATCTTTGCGATGTGTTGCATGACGGCGAGGCCTGCTAGTTTAACCAGGGCGTAGCTGTGTTCGGAGACCCAGCCCTTTTCCTCGTTGGATGCTTGGAGCAGGCTTCCACTAGAACC